TTGCAACTATGAAATTCACTACAGGTCTAAGTAACTGGAGTACTTGTGCCATCAGGTATTTATGGATACAACAACAAGGATTGGCATTAGAAAACACACTAATGATTCCTAAACTAGAGAAGATTAGAGGAAAGCGTAACCTCACAGATAATGATTGGTTACTTCTAAAACCCCAATCCAGTAAATGCAATGGATGGTTAACTGGTAATGTTTCACATTTTTCATGCTCTTGCTATTTTACATTATATCATACATCATCAAAGGATGTTAAATTAGCTTGTCAATTTAACACATTACCAGTACCAGTTTATGATCTTTTTGCCAAGAATTTAACCTGGTGGGCACCCACATACACAGGGGACTATATTTTTCCCAAAGATAACACACACAGGTAGCCACACATATCCTAAAAGGAGAACTCCTTAAGGTGAGTTCACAAATTCAGAATGATTTAGCCCATCATTGGTACAATGCTTTACTGGTTGGTCCCCTACTGGATCCCAGATAATGAAATCATTCTTCTATCATTTTGTTATTATAGTCCTGATTTTATTGTGTATGATTTTATATAACTGTCATCTTGTTTGTACATTGAGGAAGAGAGTACAGAAATTAATCCATAATGCAGAACAGAAACAATTAAAAATTCTCCTCTCTGCCACTGTAGAGTATCAACCCATCTTTAAACTGGGCCTTAGGAATTACCACATGGGAATCGAGGTGAAGAAATTAATGAAAGTCCCGCAGGGAGTGACTAGCACCCCTGAAAATACCATGTGGAAGTTTCTCTGTCCTGGTAAGATTTTATCGATAAGATGAGCAATTGTTTTATTGCTCAAAGAGGGGAATGTAAGAATATTAAATAGTTAACTTGTTTATATGTATTTTATGCTTTTATAAGGTTTATAACATGATTATTGCTGACTGAAGGGATATTGAATACTTAAAGTCAATATGCTGACTGTGACAGACTAAGGTATTTCTTCTATAGGATGTAAGACAATGCTAAATTTCAGGATGTCTTGCCCATTCCGATTTTAAGGATATTCTTTTCCAGACGTATGCAAAAGCTTATCTTTCCATTGTCAGAATAACGTAATACAAGGAAGTAATAAATCTTATAGTCTGTACTGTATTTGCATATACCATGGCTAATGTAAGCAAACTATGTATAAAAGCCAGCTCTGGAATACACTCATTTGAGAGTCTTGTAAAGCTGTTGTCCGTGTGTTATTGCTTACAAATGATTCTCCATCAACGTTGATTATGGTGACCGAGGGAACGAGAACCGAGGGGATTAGAGTCCATTACCACATTAACCCTTTCAGGGGATATATATATATATATATATATATATATATATATATATATATATATATGAAAAATGTATCCAAAAATATTAAATCAAGGCCAAAGTTCTAAAACCGGAGCAGTTGGAAGGAACAATGGTTTCCATGGTGACTGCTCAATATTTACACACATTTGCTCTTCATAAATAATCCAATATGCTTCTATGTAAGAGTGACCAAAGAACCACTTAGGAACAGTAAAGATATTGTTTAATAAACTGTGGCTCATCTCTGTTCAGATATCGCTCCGCGAAATGTGCATTATTAATGCACAAGTCTTAATTCCACATTATCCAAACCATTGAGATGGGGATGGTTTCTGAATCGCCAAAAAGAGCCATCATTTATGCCAAACCAAGAAACCAACCGCACTGAAGATTCAAGCTTTACCAGTTGTGTTCCTTTATAATCCTATAAAGCAAAAATTAGAATAGGTTGCATCCTGGTTTCAGGTAATTTGTCCCCACTTAAACTTAATCATTTACCACATACTGATAACTTTCTATTAACTTGTTAGCATACCTATCCGATCTGTCCATTTGAAATAAATGTATTTAAAATGGACAGCATAATTCTCATGGTTCCATACATTAATAGGCATGACCTTTTAAACAAACCGGATTAAAAGGCGAAGCGTGCAATGCCTTGTATCTAGCGGGATGTTTTTGTTTTAAGTCTTGTAAGATGAATAGGAAACCGTTCAAGCAAAGCATAATTTACTTGTGAACAGCACATAAACTGAATGCAGATACTACAGACACACTAAGCACTAATGACCCTAAACAATATAAATGAATGTGAAACTGCATTTCAAAAGCAGAGAAAGTTAGTGTTTACATTCAGCAAAAGCTACAATAGATTTGGTTGTTTTCACACAGCCATCAGATTATGTTCTGGTAAATACGAGTTTGTGTTGCCATCTTTGAAGTGCAAGGTGACTGTCAAAAAAGGTTTAGCCTTGCCTTTGTAAACTAAATGATAGCAGAAGGCACAAAAGCTTGACACACTGTGTTCCTATCGTTGCTAACAATAGTAAGAACAAATTGCCTTTAATTTTCTGGGTCTTGTCAACCTCTGTGATGTCAGGCTGAGCTAGACATGCTTACTAGTTTATCAGGAGGATGGGAGCCAGCAAATGACATAACTCCATTCTACCCACAAGATAAACTGGAAAAATGTACCAGGTTAGACTGGCTATTTTGGCCTGACATGTACAATTTCCATAACGGTTTATGGCGAGGTGAATAAACCCCAAAGAGGAAAAAAGTTAATGTGAATTGCATTAACGCATGTTAACAGCATGCATTGTTGCCACTGTTAAGTGTGTGTGTGTGTGTGTGTATATGTATGTATGTATGTATGTATGTATGTATGTATGTATGTATATATATATATATATATATATATATATATATATATATATATATACATTTTTTTATTATTTTTTTAATACATAAACCTATTAAGCACTTTATGAGTAAACCTAAAACAATACACATTTTACAGCAAATAAAGCTGTGTAATGTATAGAGGTCTAAATTTACCGTTGTATAACGTTAGTACTATACTGAAAATACTATATGAAATTACACCATATTAATGTGTTGGAGAACATGGATAATTTGTAAAGATAGCTCAGTGGGGTAATGTATCATCAATAGAATCTGTTCAACCCTTGGTTCGCAGGTTTCGAATCCTGACAGGGTTGACTCAGACTTTCATCCTTCCGAGGTAGATAAAATGAGTCCCATTAAATTGGGTAATAGTAACATCCCCAGAATGTACTTGAAAACCAGAGTAATCTGAATGTGTCTTTCCTGGTTAAATACTTTGGTATTATTATTTTATTCAAACATGCTTACTCTATAGGATGAAAAAGGGGCCTTCTATTACCAGCTTTCATTTGTAGGGAAGAGTGTTTAGCAAAATATTTATTTCTCTAAACTCCGAACTTCAGTTATCTAGCAAAAGAAAAGTGAGGCTTCAAGGGATACATTTTTGTTTTGCAATTCTTTGCAATACAAAATGAAAGTTAAATATGTATTCTGGATTTTGGAAGAGGTTAATAACAGAAAATCTGCTGGAAGCTAGTTTTGTCGAAGGCCTTATACACACTTGCTTCACACGTGCTTCTCTTGTTCTTAAAGTTAATTTGACCCATGCTGTGCCTTGTACTAAACACACTCTCTCCCCCCCTTCTCTCTTTTTTTCCCCCTCCCCCCTCTCTTTTTTCTTTCTCTCGCCCTCCCCCCTCGTCTTTCTCTCGCCCTCCCCCCCTCGTCTTTCTCTCGCCCTCCCCGTCTTTCTCAGCCTCCCCCTCGTCTTTCTCTCGCCCTCCCCTCGTCTTTCTCTTTCGCCCTCCCCTAGTCTTTCTCTGGCCTTCCCCCTCGTCTGGCCCTCCCCTCGTCTAGCCCTCCCCCTTGTCTCGCCCTCCCCTAGTCGCCCTCCCCCTCGTCTGTCCCCCCTCGTCTTGCCCTCCCCCTCGTCCTGGCCCTCCCCCTCGTCTAGCCTCCCCCCCTCGTCTAAGCCCTCCCCCCCTCGTCTGGCTCTCTCGCTCTCCCCCCTCGTCTTTCTCGCTCTCCCCCCTCGTCTTTCTCGCTCTCCCCCCTCGTCTTTCTCGCTCTCCCCCCCTCGTCTTTCTCCCCTTCCCCCCTCCCCTGGGCTCTCCCCTCGTCTTTCTCCTCTCCCCTCCTCCCCGCCTCTCTCTCACTCTCACATTGCTGTTATCTTTGTAAATACACAACATTTTATTAACTATTTCAGTGCATATCTGTTCAGCTATCACATCTGTGATGGACCACCTGGCACCCCGACCGGGTACCTCCGTCGATCAATCCTACTAGTGCTCACTGAGGACTCCAAGCACTCCACCAGACACTATAAGCACTGTAGCCCCTTAGCCGCCGCAGCTTGGCTGGTGTCTCGCCATCCTCCACTCACCCTGGACCCAAGACCAGGGTGGAGCTTCCGGTGGGTGAACCTCTCCTATTCCAGAGAGTAGGCAGGAACAGCTCTTATAAGTGCTAGTGATTAGAACCCAGGGCAGTATAGCAATCCCCAGAGTGAATATAGCTGTCCCCTCCACACATGAGACGAGGCTCTATGTTGAGGGTGAAGAGGAACTGATTTTAATGGTGCCACACTTTGCCTTATATGACAATCCCCATGCAAGGGGTACGCCAACATGGACCTGATGGTAGACTGATTTACAACGTCACAGACCAATAACCATAAGGTTACAAGGCACGACAATCCCACACACAGCACACAATCCCTCCTCTCTGCCTGGGAGATAATTGAGTCAGATACTGTATTAACTCAATTATCTCCAGGCAGAAAAAAAACACATTTCCATAAAGCCCGCGGCTTAAGATGGCCGCTGCCCCGTGTTCGAATGCCACTTTAAACCCCTTCGATTGTTCGGCAGTTTGAAGTGTTGCTGTACATATCCAAAAAGGCAATAACAGGGTTTTTGTTTTGTTTTATTTTTTTATTATTTTTCATTGTGCATGAAATAACCGTATGCTTGCTCTGCCCCAACAGCAGTCGCAAGTAGCATGGTAACAGGCATAACGAGCACAGCATTGCATTAGAATAAACAGCACTTTTTTTTTTTTTCATGTTGAGAGGGGGTATAGACCGTGGATTGACATAACATATACATGTAGGCTGGTCTTGCTGTCTGTGGTTGTAGTGTAGGTTGATGTTCTACGTTTGTGGTACATGCAAGCTAAATTATAGGTTCATCATTGATTTGCATGAGCTGGCTAGGGTTATGCAACACTTTTAGAATATGCTAGGCAGATTAATGGAGTATCTACTATATGTATACAGGCTATAACAATTTTTAATGCACGCAGGAGCATATCTTAAGGTGGTATTGCACTATTTTTGTTTAAGTGGATTAATAACATTTGCTTATTGAGTGTGGCCTGTGCTTAATGGCAGATAGTGCAAAACAGTCCAAGAAGAAACGAGAATTGAATCCAGAGGTAAGTAGTCCATAACTAAGCTGTGATTACCGCAGACCTTGCCTGTGTGTTGAGTGTCCCAGTGGGCTGTTCAGCCGATGCCTTTCGATGGGAGGCCGTTGCAGCTTAACTGCCAAAGTCCAGCTAACTTTATGCTCTGGACCCTCTGGTTCCGGGTACCTAGTGCCGTTTCCGCTCCTCCGAGAGTCAGCGAGTAGAGGACGGGGTTGCATTTGCTGAGGTCCGCTGGTTCAACTGTGGCTGTGTCTGTGTCTCGTGTGTTGTAGTGCGGTGTGCCTTTCGCGGCTGGCCTGCTCGTCCCGGTTGGTTGCTGGGTGCATGAGGAGTTTGCAGCGCTTTGTATCTTCGCCGACGTGCGTGATATCCTTTCATGAGGTGTCTTAAGCGGAGGGCTTTTCCCTCTGCGGCACCCTCTTGGGCATTGACCGGTCGAGGAGTAGCTCGCTTGCAGCAGGGTTGCTTGAGGTTTTCCCCTTCGTGGTCGTGTGTTTTCTTTGAACTGCTGTGCTCTGCTCTCTAACTTCGCCCAAAAGGCTTCGAAGATGGCATTTAGCCTGGTCGAATAGTCCAGCACTTCTGTGTCGCACTCCACTTGGCATGTGGCATCCGCCATTGTGCTGTTCAGTGTGTCTAGGTGCCATTCCTGCGGGTGTAGAGGTTTGCATCTGCCCTGGCCCGATTGCTTCAGGGTGGTGGACCGGGATTACCCCCGCCGGTCTTGGGGAGAGGGGGGAGGGGGAGAGTTAGGCTGACATTCAGTGTCACTGCTGCCTTGGTGTTGGGTTGGAGCGAGCGGCTGCCTCTCCCCGCCGCCATCCCCCGTAGGCCGCAATGTGCCTTCTCATAGTTACGGTCGTTGAAGTCTCTTTTGTCTGGTATCAGATTGATCGAATAGTGTGCCCTGGCATGATTTCAGGGTTCGTTTGGGGTCACAGTGCTTATTTTGTAGCGTGTGTGGCAGGAGCACTCTGTGTGCGACCGTTCAGCTTGCCGGTCAGGCGCCGCCCCCCCACAAACAGTGGTTTTAACCAAGTTTTATCACAGGGGCCATAGTCACAGGGTAGGTGGCTGGCAAACAGGCTCCTCCAAAAGCCAGTGGCAAGGTTACTTTCGCCACAACAAGAGACTTCTTTTGAACTCCTGTTTACACAAATTAATGCAATTTTAGAGGAACATTTTCACTACACTTGGGATTCTAGCATTTCAGCAAATGTGGCACTATGCAAATACCAATTTAAGGGAATTGACAATGGCAAAACTGTAGGCCTAAATAGCCATGTTTAGGTCTTAAATGTATAATGAATAATACAAGATTTTTAATTGGCCTCTCTGATACATGCATCCTCGTCAAATATTGAGTTCCTGGGAAAACCGGAAAACAGGACTGAAATGACACAGATGGATTGGATCCCAATGCCCCTCCTTGGGGGTATGTACAGATCTCCATTATATGAAAAATATAATAAAATAAAAACCGATATAACAAAAGCTTGCTAATTCCAAAGGTAGGAACAATGAATCAAACTTGGTTTAACAATGCTAGGAAAAAGCCCAGGACTCTCTTCTAAAAGAAATATACAATTCTGGAATCTGGAGCAGCAACAGCAATTCTTAATTCTTAGGTTTCAATTAATGAAGCAGTGTTCATTTAATTTCTTCTCAGTGCCAATTGTGAAAATCACTACATTGAATCACTTTAATTGCTGCTAATGAAGTTGCTGATACCAATTCTTTTTTGTAAATCCTAACTTTATTAGAACTTTCAGGGCAAACCTAATATTCCCTATTATGCTATAATAGTCTGATAACCAGCATATGTTTATATATAAGGAAAAGCACAATTAATCATTGTTTATAATTAGAAAGAGGGGTGAGGAGGGACAAGGAAGATATTGGGGTTTATTCTAATCCCTAGAATAGGAATGGCAAAAATTAGTAAGCATCTAAACTGAAGAATTTTTATTTTTTTATTTTGCCCACATTTTACAATTTTGTATTTTAATTTGCTCCAGCTCCGATTTTGATGCATAAATCTGTAAGCCACAAACTGTAGAGAACTGAAAGCCAAATTTCAAAGTTTTGGCAAAATTCTCCAATTTAGCTACAGGCACAGCTTGGCTAATTTAGTGTAAACTTTGCAATTTTCATTCAGTTAATAAACCTATTGACAGTCAAATTCTTTATATTGGCTCCTAAGAATATAAATAGGAATGTATCCCATTGCCACATGAAGAATCATGTTATTGAATCCTGGAGGCAGTTGCTATCACCTCTTATTGTATGTGATGGTTATTTCCAATGCTTTTTACTCTGCTATTCTCGCCGGACATGCTGTTCGTGTTGCAGGATAATATCTAGCTGCTGGAAATTGTTACACGTTAGAAGCATGTCTATTAATCCGCTATGCACTAGAGACATGTGCTGGTTACATATTTACATAGCGAAGATAAAAAAAAAAGACAATTCAGTCAATTTTCCCCCGAAAAAATCCTAGTTGGTAACGTTTCACTTTTTTTTTTTTTTTTTAAAGAAATCTGTTACACTAAAACGAATGTGGATTACTATTCCCATGATACATTGCCAGCTATTTAAGGTATGACAAGCTCACGTGCCACGGACTCTTGGAGAGGCTTGAAGGCTATCCTAAAGAGGGTATTGTAACTCTCGGGAGGGGGCTCGGACGCTCACTGTGGCTTTAAGCCACTCCAAAAGTTCACGCCACTGGAGCTTCTGTCACATAAGGGAAATTTTAGTCCATTTCAGCTGCAGTACAAATATTTCACCATTAATGACTTAGGTCAATGAAAATGGCCTCAAGACAAAGGAAGGGTGTAAATCCTGCTATGTTAGTTAGGGAGCCCCTGATTGCATTTCCTTTGCAATCTGTGTCCAATTCTCCCAACCTTCAATGAAATCACCACCCCTGCTGGAAGCACATTCCAGAGCTCCACTGACCCTCCAGCAATAACGTAAGCATGTCCAAATCTGGGCAACTTGTGCTTTTCTGTGGAAATTAGGTGTGTAGTATGATTCAATACCAGCTCATCATTTCTTCAAGATGCCAATATTTTAGACTGGGGTAACATAAACCCAATAATAAAATAAACAGAACAAGAACATGTTGGGGGTTTTGTGGTGTTTTTAAAAAGGGGTGGAAAAAGCGTAAAATCTAAGGGCAGGGGAAAAAAGTAAAGTTGCACTGTAAAGAAACCAGGCAATACAGCTGAACAGTATGCACTTGGCCTTCCTGATATGCACTCCATGGAACCTAAATTGAATGAATGGACTGTTGTGGAATGCAATTGTCAACTTGTTTATTTGTGCATTTCCAAGGAGAATGGAAGTATACCATCTGAACAACATATTTCAGCTAAGGATTGTCTAGCAGCAAGGGAGATCCAAGCTATCAACTTCTCATGTATAAGACTTATAAACATTTGGCAGCTACAGTGGGCTGCATACGTATTTATCCACAATGTTGCAAAAATAATGCAATACTGATTCTCTGTTTATTTGGTATTTACATCAAAATATTAAAACCCCAGAGAGAGGAAAATTACTGGTGTCTGGAAATGGCACAATTTTTACACTCGAAATGATGCCAAACACACAGTTTTATACAAATGTGCTGTTTTTAACGCCTTCACTCCCAATCCTGTATATAGACTAAATACATTTCATTGTGCATGGTAGAGCAATGCAAAACAAAACCTTGTTTACTCCCACATACCTTTCCCTCGAGTGATCAACTGAACTGTCTATAATGAGATGGTTCATTTCTCTACATAGGTTCTATTTAGAACTCCTCACATACTGTTCACAAGAGCCCATTTGGCTCAAAAGACATTTGCAGCCTTTTTGCTGCTATGGAGGGGGTGATCAAACCGGCAAAGGGGTGGGGGAAATAAAACAGGAAGCAAAAGTATTCAGCAATGCTTTGTCCTGCACGTATACCTAGTCAGGCAACTGTATACATTGTATTTGGTAAGCACTCATACCTTATCATTCTGAAATCATTTTGGCATGTTGCATTGATCCAGAATATGATATATATAAAGTTCCTTACGTATACACACAAGCAGGGTACCTGATTACACCTCTATATTTGCTTTTACTTATTTATTAAATACTGCCTGAAATAGTTCAAGATAAGGTAAACCAAATAATCTTTTTACTTTAAAAAAATAAATAACTGAACATTCTTGAAAAGCAATTTATTAACAAAAACCCTGCTTTTCTGCTAGCTATTCATCAAAGGTTTTAATTAAATGTTATTTTTATGTTTTTATGTTTTTTAATATATAACTTAGTAGTGATGTTAAAGCGTATTGTAAGCCTATAATTACTGTAGGTTTAAAGATATAGCCTTTCTTGTTTTTCTTCATGGCTGGCACTGGTTGCTTACATTGTGAATAGCTAACGAATGTGGTAGAGTACAATTTCCTGTGCTGTCACAACCATCCCTCCCAGCTCCTACTGTGGATGGAGATCGATCTGGCTTCTGTTCACTTTAAATCTTGTAAATGATTGGGCTTTGCAGCTCTGTTGCCAGAGCAACACCAGATGCTTCCTAAACCTTTTTATTCAAATGTTATATGATTACAAGAGCATGGAACATAAATAAAAATGTCACATCTGCATATTTCCTTCCCTTAGACTTACAAAATGATTTCTGTAGGTGCCAAAGAAGATGTATAGAAGGATGGGAAAATAAAATAAGCAGCTTTTTATTCTGACTAGCAAACTTTGATATTTTCCTACACCATAGATGGGTACATTTACAGAAAAAAAATGTACGGTTTGCAAAACAGAACAAAAACAAGGCATTGCAAATCTTTGAACTTTTCTTGAATATCTAATCAGTTTAAGTGGGGGGAAAAAAAAAAGAAAGAAATGAGAATTTTAAGCTCTTTGCCAGATCCTCTGTTGGTTGAAGTTGGAAAAAGCTACAGAAACCTGAATCAAAGTCTATCAAATGTGCATAAAATTAACATTACTCGTGTTTTAAAAGAAAAGTTGCTTTTATTTTTTTTCCTCTCCCTTATCTAAACCATGGAATAAAACATTCAAAATCCCCTATAACTTGAGTTATTTTTCATGTAACACTTCTTTTAAATGTATATTAAAGATTTAGCAGTTGACCTGACAATCCAGTTAAGCAAGGGCACACTACGTTGGAGGAGGAGACGCAGAATCACGCTTTGTGGGTTTTTTTTCCACCTCCACTCAGTGTTCTGACAGAAAAAGACAATGTTTTATAACATTGATGGACAAGGAGCCAAGACAGAGGCATCAACTTTCCAGATATTTGTTGCGGAATTCTTAAAGGGTTACAACAAGCATCATAACCACTACAGCCCTCTGTAGTGGTTATGATGCCAGGAGTACCCTGGCCCAGTTCGCCATTCATTGGGCAAACCAATAGCTTGCCCTCTTTCCTGGCCACCCACCGGGGGCCGGGGCTCCTTGCTTCTCGGCTGACACATTTAAGGCTTCTGCACAGCTGCAGAAGCCATTGGCTGAGAGTGTCAGGTGACCACACAATTGACATCAGCCAATAGCCAGCATGGAACTCTTGCTACGAGCTGGCTTATGATGCCCCAATGACTTTATCCTAGGCAGCATAGCAGAAACGCTGCACTTTACTAACAGATTCCAGGCACTGTGACCACCACAAAAAAAGTGGTCATGGTGCTTGGAGTAACACTTTCATTTTATATTTTAGACCTCAAGCTCTTGTTTAAATATAGAGGATAGGTCAACATAATATTAAAAATCTTGATAAGTGCTCTTTTCCCTTTAAACCATATAGGTCATACTATAAATGCTTTTGATTATTTTATTTTTATATTTTTTTTACCGTTTTCTTAACATTGTGTGACACCACTCTTGGTGGTATATAATGTGGATTAGGTAATTTTCTCTATAGACTTTGCAGTATAATACGAAGAAGTTGGGTCCCTGCTTTTTCCAAATATGAAAACCCTACTGAAAACACATTTAAAATAAATATATAATAAACAATAAAATATCACACCGTGCTTTAATTAAAACTCTGCTCTATAGAACATGTCTGGCTACACTTCCTTGTATGTATTTTATGATGACAAACTATTACACCATAGAGAATGTATTAAACATTCACATGTAGTGTTGGGCAACTAGGACAAAACCCGAGCCCAACCTGCCGAAAAACATAGGTCTCTGATATAGGCTGAGCACATAAACGGGTACACTAACAATACTATGTGGCATCCCTCTGTATGCATTGGATATACTGTGTCTGGCATTGTAGGAGAACATGTATAGGCTAAGCAATAAAGTAGAAAGGAACTTGCCTTATACCATATTTAGAACCCTACCTGCACCTTTGAATCATTTTAAGACCCAAAAGGTTTGTAAGTCACTACAAAATAAATGTTTAACTTTATTTTTTTTTTAAGGGCACTCAATGTACCATAACTACTACTGCTCACTGTAGTGGTTATGGTATTAGAAGTGTCCCCGCAGCTTCTCAATAGTTAGACTTCTTTCCTAGACACTGCCGGCTGCCTCTCCCCACCTCCACTACTAATGCTGGAGAGTAGAAGTTCCCCTATCAGGAACTACCATTAGCTCTCCCAAACGCATTACCCTGCAGTGAAGGGCTTGGCTCATTGGCTAACTTTGTTAGCTGAATGAGTTAAACCCTAATTGAAGTTCCATCTTAGGAGCTGGACGTGGGTGACCTTTGGATCCCAGGTAAGAAGTCAAATGACTCAAAAACGATTTGACTCCTTAAAATGGAAAAACAATCCTGCAACCATAACCACTACAGTGAGCTGAGTTTATGGTACCTGGATTGTCCCTTTAATATTCAATAAATAATTACCTTTTACCATTTCTGCAAAGAGATAAATTGATTGCCCAACATGCCTACCAACAAGCTTCACTGTTGACTGGCTCCTCACCATCCGCCCCATCGTTCGTTGTTTCGTTCGTTCGTTTGTGAGGCTACACATTTATCTGCAAAAGATACATGGCAGTTTTATAACCACATGTAGTGTGTTACACCAAAAGTTAGTAAAAATATCACATGGAATATCTGCATATGAGGTGCACTTAAAATTAAATTTCACACAAATCCAATTACCTACTATTAACGCCAAAGTCGGGTTGCAGTTTTTCTCTACACATTAGATGTGCGTAAAATAAAAGTAAATTTAACATGACACTCTTGTAACCCTCATCCTATCCAACAGCCAGTCTCACAGCTCACTGCATTCCAGCTGTTGTAGGTGAACTAAGATTGTGCTAATTTATTTTTTATTTATTTTTTTAATCAAGAAACATAATGAGCTATGGGTAAATGTTCACGTGACCTAAACCCATGGCAGCATGCACTTCCCGCGCTTTCATGAGTTATCACGTGACTCCTACAGCCTCTGGCTGGCCCTGCACTTTCTGCACCACACGAGGTTCGAATTCCCCTAGTTTTTATGGCTGGATCGAACCACGTGGAGATGGGGGGGCGAAGATACATTAAACCTGAAATACAAAAAAAAATAAAAAAATTCACACAAACAATACACAAGTCACTCATTGAAATATAAACCGTTACGGTTTCCTTATTGTACAATTAATCCGGTTATGTTGCCACTACAGTGCCCGGGGATTTATTTTGGTCTCCTCCAAGCCTTGGCTGATTTGATCTCGGGTTTCAAGCCTCGCTCTGGGTGAGGGGTTTTCTAGCTATGGGATCAAAACGAGGGCTGGCACGCACGAGAAGCCGTTTGATGTGTCAATCAAACGAGCCGCTCCATCCCCGCGGCAGCAGCTGTCATGTGACCCGATTTTTCCCCAAAAGCACGTGGTGGCTTTAATGATGGTGTGATGATGCTGAGAGCCAGGAGCTGTCAGTGCCTCCTGCATGTCATAAACTGAGAGAGCTGCCTGGGTGACAGCTGGCATGGCTGCAGTTAAATGAGTAATCTTTATGAACCACATCTCCCATCATGTTCAGCCATCCACTAGTTTGGCTGCTTGTCATGAAGAGATAAAAATTAAATCAAGAATAAAATGTCAGTGTGCATGGAAATCATGTAAACTAGATACTGTCTACACTAGTAAAATAAATAATAATAATAAAAAAGGTGATATCTCTCTTCTCAGAATTTTTGTAAATGCTTTTTACCTTAAATTTATCATTTGGATTTAATGCGCTTTAAAATGCAGAGTTGGCGATTCACCTGTGTTTTAACCTTGACAAATTTTAAGAGATGGTGTGAGAAAGTATAAATATTGCTGTGAGAATAGTCTGTATCGTGATTATTTGTACAAAATAAGCTCTGAAAGACTTTTTTTTCTTTTTTTTTCTTTTTGAGAGTTCTTTGTTGGAACTCCTGGTTCTGTACAATCCATTTAAGGTGTTAATGATAATGTGTGCAAAAAAAAAAAATATTTTTTTTATTGTGACTAAAGAAAGTGCAATGGTAGAGCAGTTAACCTGTAATTGCGCAAAACATCCTCCAATATACCATGCAAAAAAGGGGAGTTCTCTACGTTGTTCCAAGTTTCATAGGTATTTGCGTAGATGCTTGGTTTTTATAGGCATTTTAAAAAAAATGGTATAATAATCATTAAATAAAATATTAATGAATTCTTATATTTAATCTGCGAATAAAACAAATAGGTTGTTGGAAGTCCTTCATTACTTGGCCACCTAAAAATTCCAGCCTGTGAAGGTAACATCTAAGGGCATTATTTGTACTTTAGTACCCAGAATCCAATACTGAGAAAATCTCTGCTCTCCTGACTTCTTTGGAATGTGTAGCTATCCTCAATGTTCCACTGACCTTACCGTACTGACAGTGGAAGGTTTTCCGTTGGCTTTTTCCTCACTGTAACAGACTTTTTTTTTTGTATTTTTTTGTTTTTGTTTTTAGCTGTTTTGTGAGTAGTCGTGTTTTGTTTTATTATTAAACATCCCAAAAAAACTTGGATTTTTATTTTTACACCATCAAAAATGTGACTAATATTGATATTTAAAAAAAGTGATTATAGGAACCGCACTCCCTCCCAGCAGCCACCGGTGCTCTGGAACAAGACCAGCAATCCCAACACATTAAGGCAGCAAAGAGATTGCCAGGCACTCAGTGCTAAAGCCGCAGGCAGATTTATTGAAAACAAAAAAGGCAGCAACGTTTCGACCTACTTGAAAAAGACCTCTTAGTAGGTCGAAACTTTGCTTCCTTTTTTGTTTTCAATAAATCTGTCTGCGGCTTTAACACTCTGAGTGCCAGGGAATCTCTTTGCTGCCTTAAAGGACCACTATAGTGCCAGGAAAACATACTCGTTTTCCTGGCACTATAGTGCCTTGAGGGTGTCCCCACCCTCAGGGTCCCCCTCCCGCCGGGCTCTAGGGTGAAGAAGGGGTTAAACTTACCTCTTTCTCCAGTGCCTAGCGGGGAACTCTCCTCCTCCTCTCCGCCTCCTCTCCTCCTCTTTGGCTGAATGCGCATGCGCAGCAGGAGCCGCGCGTGCATTCAGCCAGTCCATAGGAAAGCATTCTCAATGCTTTCCTATGGACGCTGGCGTCTTCTCACTGTGAAGTGGTCTGGGTGCCTATAGTGGTCCTTTTAATATTGATATTAAATCCTATGTGGGATGCGTAAAAAATTTGAAATTAATTTATTCATAATTCATCTAGATTTTCCAAAATTGGACTTGAGACATAGAGATTTATTTAATTTTTCGAAAAGCAAGGAAGGACAAAACTGTATTATTGAAAGGGGGTTAAAGCAGACCGTGATAATTTTATTAAAGAAATTAGGATTCCATTTCAGATCTGTTCAGGTTATGGGCAGAGAGTCATCACTTTTAAAGTAGTGAACTTCACAAACGAAAATCTAGGTTAACCTAAAGTCATTTTATTTATAAAGCACCAATGTGTTCTGCAGCACTATAAAAATAAGGAATTTTTTTTTTTTGTTTATAAAGACTTGTCATCTGAAACAAATGTACATTAAACTACAGGACATTGAAATGTGTTTTTATCTATCATGCTAACTGCAACTTTCTGCTAAAAACTGCAGAAATATCTTTAACACATTGGCAAAGAATTCTCTAGTGCTCAGAACATTTCCCAACAAACACTTTAATTCATCATCCTAACTGACTATTTAATTTTTTTATTCTTTTTTTATTTAAATAAAATTTACAAATAAGGTTATAACAAAGTTCTTTTTTTTTTTTTTTTCACAACTGGTGCAGGAATCATTAAAAAGATTTTATAATGAAGCTCAGTGCAGCCTTAAATGCCACTAAAGGGACAAATAAGCATAACAATTTTGAGAAGTAACCATTCCCCTATAATTATGTAGAATCTTAACTCATTTAGACTTTTTTTTTTATTTTATTTTTTTCAAATTTCAGCCCATTTTAAAAGAATTTGTAAGATAAATTAGGGATCACTTTGGTTTTGAGGAGGAGCCAGTTGTGAAAATAGACAAAATGTGGAGCTTTAAACCGCTTCCATCTGATGGCATGGCTCATGAAAACTAGCCATACCATCAGACCTTCTTTAGACCCCCTGATTTGTACTTGTAATTGTCAGGATACCACAAAATGGAGAAACGAGACAGGGACGTAAATAGGAACCACTGGGCCCCAGGGCAAATATTTTAAAAAGGCCTTCCCCCCACCCATGCAATAAACCAGAGTAGAATGTGAGTGGTGGCTGAATGTGATACCTGTAGAGTTTGTAGGAGTGTAATTGTGTGTGTGTGTGTGTGTGTGTGTGAGAGAGACTGTAAGGAGTTGGCTGAGTGTGATTGAGTGTAAGGTTGGCCGCAGCGGAGTGTGTTTTGTGAGGTTGAAGAAGTGTGTGTGTGTGTGTGTGTGGTTAGCAGAGTATGGGTGCTCTTCCAGCCCAACACTCACTCAGTAAGAGCGTTGTCGTGGTAACCCTGCAGAGCCACTCTAACTCGTTCACTTAGAGCCGGAACCAAGAGAGAGGGAGTAAAGTGCTCCTTGCGATAATGTCTTTAGAGTATTGCCGAATTGGCAATGTACTAAAGATTTTGAAAGGAGGGGGCCCCGTGCCTGGCCTGGTTCTCATCTTGACAGACTGAACTCCAGAGTCCGGTCTCAGTAGGACCTTTGTGGCCACACTAGTTCTGCCACTGGTGTGAGTAGGGGGGTAGAGGAATGCAGCCACACACAAGTTAAAACATAGGCAATTCGATTTTAATTTATTTTATTTTTTTAAAGGAACTTTCACCCTAGAGGTAATGGCATATTCTAATCTAGTTAAAAGCTATTATAGTCATGATTTTTGCACAAAATAACCTTTTTTTTTTTTTCTTTATTTATTTAGAAATGCATTTAAATCAAATGTATATTAGTAGAGGTGGAAGACACAGCTTGGCATTCTATGCAAATGAGTCTCACACTTGGGGTTTGTTGTGTAGATGGCAGCATTGACCATTTGGAAGTGCTGTATTGATAAATGTGTTTCGTAACTCCTCAGCTCTCTTCAACTCAATAAATGTTTCAATAGTGTTTACTAGAGTTAAATAAAATGGAATTTTCACCAACAAAGTGGTGATTGTTCCTCTTTAAGTGTATGTGTAAATGTACAGTCAGGTAGTTTCCTTTTTATACCAGTCTCCTTCATGTGAAGTCCTCTGGTCAATAGAGAAAATACAAACAAATGCGTGTTTTTGTTAACATGCTACAACTACAGTAAAACAAAAATAACCAAAATAAGTATTCTACCTCCCAAGTGTTTCTTTTCTAACGGGCAGTCCTAATTGGGAAAGTAAATGTAGTGAGAAGCTGTGTGGCTTGATTAAGAGGTGTATCCTCCTGTAAAGAGTGACAATTTGGTTAAAGCAAAACTCCAAGCCCCATAACCACTTTAAATCAGTGACGTAGTCATGGTGCTTTCAGTAATTTGGCTAGCCATGTCACAAATCAAAGATCACCGAACATCAAATGAAATTAACCCGCTAACGTTTTTGAAAGTGCCATGGTTGGACATCTCTGACCCAAGTGGTTTTCTGTCTACCATAGAATACCAGTTAAATACCACCAATTATTGAATATGCTGGTGGGATGTGTTTTTTTTTTTTTTTTTTTTTAAACTAAAAACCTCGCAATTAGGGAGTCAAGGCTCCAGAAGAAGCAGAACGCTGTATTTGTACTGGCAAAATGGGACCTGCCATTATGCATTTGAATGTTTTCTATCTTTAGATTTTAATAGCTGGCCCACAGGAACAGAACGCGTCTATGGCATTCTCCCATGACTATTCTGAAGAGTCAATCATTGCATTAGAATAACAATCCCATTTATCATTTTGTGACTAAAATGCAGCAATTTTACGGTTTATTATATAGTGGAGAAAACTGTCTGTGAATGACAATGAAAGTCACTGTTTTGCATCCATTCTCTCTTCTACTACACCAGATAAACAGAAAGACAGAAAGACGAGGCTTCTAAGTGATCGAAGGACATTTTAATTTTTTTCCAATGTTTTTAGTACATGGGGGAAATAGTAGGTTTTTTTTTTTTGTTTTTTTTGGGTCCCTGCCCCATGCCATAGCTTCCATCATTCAAAATGGCTGAACTGGGTGCACAGGGGGTGTGGCTTCCACTGAAGTAATGGCTGCCTCCATCTG